GAGATTTAAAAAAATGGTTAATTTCAGAGGGAGCCATCCAAGGGTTAACATAAGTGCAAGGGTAAATGACGAGATCAGTTTGCAGCGGCTGTTAATAGTGCCCAGGGTCACTGCAGGGTTAACAGGCTGTTAACATAACATAACTAAGCCTGCTGCGCGTGTAACAGGTGTGAATTTCGCTTGCGCGTTATGTTATAGATATTATGTAGCTCTCTATGCCTATTTTTGCTTCTGGCTTGACACTATTCTCTTTTGACTTTATAGTTTTTATTTTTATAACTTGTTGTTGCTGCGGGTTGTTGTTGTTGTCGTCGGTCAACGACCTGTGCGTAGGCTATGATGATTGCTATTTAGTTCTGTTCTGCTTGAACATGTATTTATAATATATATTCGCTTATTCGCCGCTTGCCAGTTACCAATGCCAACTGTTATTGCCGTTCCTTTTTGGCTTGCTTTTGATTTTGTTTTTATTGCTTTTGCTGCATGCGCAAGAGCACAAAAGCAACATTTTCGCTCTCTTTTTGTGTTTTTTTGCCATTTGTCAATTAATTCTAATCGCAACCGAAAGCAACAGTAACAACAAACACACGCACACACATACATATGTACATACATACATAATAATAACAAAAACAACGACGGCAACAGCGACAACGACAACAGTAACAAGAGAGCAATCCAAACGAAGAGCAACAAAATAAAATTAAAAAAAAAAAATTATTATAGCTAAAAATTTCGGTGCTGTTTCATCAGATGCGAACGAAGCGCTCATACCCTTTGCCATAAAACGTGCTGCAGAGCAGCAGCATGCGAGTGGTAAAAGAGGAAATTGTGAAACGATTGCAGTAAACAGTAGTTAAAATCATAGTCAAATCAAATTGAGCATACACGTCTATGCATATGTATGTACATATGTGTGAGCTCTGATCCTTAGCGAATTCGCCAATTGCAAATTGTGGATTGCATATTGAAGTGAAATAAGCAATATGCCCAGACGAGTTGGTGTTGCGATTACGTGTGTGCGAGTTATTAATATTAGTTAAATATTAAAGTGTGTTTTGTGTTTGTCAAGACCGAATAATAGCAGCAGCAGCAGCACAACTCGCAGAACATGCTATAATTCTACATTTATACATACATACATACGTACTTATGCATGCATATGCATGTATGTATGCTGAATGCTTGTATGTATGTACACTCACGCACACCGCAAACACTGACGCCGCACCGATCAGTAAAATATATTTTTCTACGAAGTAAAAATGTTACCACTTTGCACGCAGTAACGCGAAATAACAGAAAAACCCCAGTTGATGGCGAACGATCACGATTAATCCACAAGTGAGAAATACCGGCACCTCCACCTGTATTAAACACTGTATATTTTTTAAATAAAAATAAAGATTTGGACACTAACAATTTTTGTAACAAAGTGAATAAGCACACAAACGAAAAAAAAAGAACTCAATTAATACTAACAGGGACTTACGATATTCGGTGCTATTAAGAGATCTTCTCTGTTATCACGCTCTTAGCAATTTTAACATAACAGTAGCGAGTGGGAAATTTTCATGCCGGTTTCGGTACTCTTTTACCAAGTATTGGTACCTTTTTTATTATTACAACAATTTAATTTTATTATTATTAATTGAAATCTAATACTAAAATATATTGTGAATATTAAATAAATAGTGTGTTTGTTATCATTTATTGTTATATTAATAAAAATTTGTAAATTTAAAATTGTAAAAATATATTTTATTTGGTTTATAATATATGCTGAAATTCAATAAAACTTTATAGAAATTATATTGTTATCTTTCAAATAAAATAAAACAAAATATTGACTCTCAAGAAAATTTCCCATCTTTTGAAAATGTGCGGACAGCCAACGGCAAACCAACTCAAAGCTGTGCAGAGCCAACTTCAAACCTGTTCGTTTGAAGCTGTGCAACTGGCGTCAAGCGTGTCTGCAGCTGCTACCATCCAACATCGAACATGTACGCAATTGCGCGCAGCCAACTTCAAGCTGATGCCTTCCCGTTTTGCTCCAACCTCAACTCTACGCAGCGCTGCCACCTATTTCGCAGAAGACCGCGTAATTTAAACCATAAAACTGATGCCGTCAACGACATGCTAATCTAGTCCTTAATTAAATTTAGGAAATGATTGACGGTATATATGATTTATTAGCAGGCTGGCTAATGGAATGGCAACATGTTTTTAATTAGGCACAATAGTCTTAAATTTCCATCCACCAAGCCACTGTGACGTGTGATAATTGTGATAATTGAACGATCTGGAGTGACGTACGCTGCAAAAAATAAACAGACCTCGACACGTCAAGTGAAACAGTCAATAAAACTGACATACCTAAGCCAAAGCACTACTGCCATCTATTTGGTGATTGGCTGAGCGGCGAAAGCAAACAACTGGATTGGCTCTCGCCTTGCCCTAGCTCAACTTTAGCCGGACAAATGGGTTCAAGTGTATGGATCAACATGAATCACCTCGTGATTCCCAGTGGACTCAGTGAAAAGAAAATGTTTAGCCCGTCGGGCGGTGCCAGTTACTGCCCAAACCGCAGTACCAATCACTCCAACCCCAACTCACACTCACACTCACATTCACATTTTTACTCACACTCACTCGCACTCACACTCACAATCACATTGATATCCGTTTAGCACCTTTTATACGGAAGCTACTGGGCTTTAAGCATCAGGGGGTCCAGCCCATATTTCTATCAATTAGTTGGGTGAAAATAAAGATGATTCAATCGAAATGTCATCCCAAATGCAATTGCTCATCTAATTGTGCTAATTTCGTCGCGAGTTAGCAAGAATTTTAATGAGTAAACACCCTGTAGGCGAGTGGCAAGCAAACAGTGCACTATTTACAGGGTATTCTCCTGTTGTTGCTCATCTCTGGGTGCTAATCTTTGACATTTGTATGTGACGATTTCGCGAAACCGGCTCTCAGCTGAAATTAATTAAAAATCAATTAAATTAAACTAAATTTATTGAACAAAATAAAAATGCATAAAAAACACCATTTGATTACTGGCATTTGAGCACGGGCGTTGACAGCTTCGTTTTAGTTTTGAGATTGATTTGATGCGGAATCATAAATCACGTGTAGATAATCCACTTGGAGTGATTCCAATTCCATTTCCAATTCCAATTCGAGCTCATTCCAATTGGCGTTTGCTTTGGCTCGCTCTGCTGCATCGCTGGCCACTGTCAACTGTCCCAAATTTTGGTATCTTTGCTGAGTTGCTTAACCTTCGTCACACCTGAGATCACATTTTCAAGAGCGGCGCAGCCGTGTTGACACTTTTCCGACTGTGCGTCATCAAGCGGATCAGCTTGGCTCAGATCATTTGCCTAATGAGCTACGACAGGTTATTAAAATTCGGGCTTCCGATTTGCTATCCGATTAGCAGCGACAGCTCCGAGATCTCAGCCGGCACGACTGCCCGTTTCCGTATTGTTTTTAAGCGCCACGCCCACGCCATAACACGCCCTAATCCTTTGCGTCAAAGAGAGTCATAAATTTGTTCTGCTTTGATTTGATTTGCTTTGATTTGTTTTGCTTTGATTAGTGCCTGCGTCATGGAAAGATTTAATTGAACGTAATGCGAAAGGCAAACATTTTGTTCCGAAACAAACAGCAATCGAATGTAAATAGAAATTAATATATGACCCAAAACGAAGTTTATATACACTTGGGATGGGGCACTTTTATGACATGCAATGCTAGATATTCTCGGAAATCAACAGATATAAAAATTGTGAAAGGCTCTAAAAGTTTCCATACAGCAAAGACTGAGGATGTGTTGGAAAAGTAGAGATAGGGGAAAATTTATATAAGTAAAAGGGAATAGTTAACTAATAATTATACTAAAAGAAAAGAGATCATTCTACTGCTAAGTATGGAGTTTTTTTTTAAAGTAATTTCTAATGAGTAATAAAAAGAGTTTATAAAGCTGAAGAAAATTGTCTGTTTGTGATATCTATAAACTGAACTATGTAGGGTCAGGCGTTATTTCTCCCTGTCTTTCTTTTTACCCCTGCCGTCCCTGCCAGTCCTTCCATCTTTGTCTCTCTTTCCTAAACAGAGAGATTATAGATCAATTACATACAGCGTGGTCATATTTATTTGATTTCAATTAGTTCAATACCAACCCGATGATCATATAGAAATTTGATCAACGCACTATATAGCAGTTGACCCCTGAAAGGTTCACAGATGGCGCTACTTCAATGGGAGTAGATATCTCTGAGATAATATATGCATATACGAGTATTATTGTTATTGTTAAATATTAGTAGGAGAAGTCTAAAAACATACTGTACTTAGGCTGCTCTTACTACTACTTAGCAATCATACTGTCATGATATATTTAGACTTCTCTTACTAATGCCTAACAATAATATTTGTGTATAAATATATGTAACCTGAGGCCGCTGCTTGTCATAGCTAATATCCCCATTTCTCAGCGTACGTACGTACTATAATAATAATAAATCTGTTTTTGTTTGCCGTTTCCTCTTCATACGCGCACAAGAGTTTAATAGCAGCCGCAAGACGCGCAGCACGATGATAACTAGGAAAGTGCGCGCAGCCTCCGCCCCCGAGGCAGCCAATTTGTCGTGACCCAACCGAAAACAGAGACAAACTGAAATCGAGTTTTTGGACAAGTTTCGCGGCGAGAGCCATGAAGTGGGAGAGCCTTCAAGTGGTGCACTGGACATAGTCCACTTGCGAGTCCCTGTCTCCCGCTCGGCGAGCGGCGCCTTGGCTGCTTCGTGACATCGCCAGCACTTCACACCAGCAGCCAAAGCGACAACGACAACAACAACAGCAGCAACAACCACAGCCAGCTGAAACCCGTTCGGCTGTATCTTAACGTGGCTAACATCGCTTCGCTGCGCTGCGCTGCGCTGAGCGAGGGCGGCAGGCGGAGGCTGTTGGCCATATATAAAAGTGAATTTGTGACAAATATTCTGAACAGTTAAGACGCACGCTTAGCGGCGACAACATCAAGCAAATACAAATACAAACACAAATACAAATACTAATCGAATATCGCGCTCTCGATATATGTGATAAGACAGACAGACAGACGGAGGCGCAGACAGATTAAATAAATTATCATTAGACGATTGTGAAAAGAAATTGAAGCGAAAATCGCGTGTGCGCAATTAAAACAACATTTTCGAGTGTGCTAAGGATAAGCGACTCGAAGTCAAAATCAAAATAATATTAAAAATATATACAATTACAATAAACAGAATATGTGCTTGTTAAGCCAACAAGTGAGTATTGAAGCGAATTTACGATTATTTATTTGATTCCATTCGACATTTGAGATCTGAGTAACGGCAAACGCGTTTCATTAGCATTTCGAAATTTTCGAATTTTCGCTAATAAAAATTGCATAAAAAAGTAAATAAAAATTAATTGCAAAATATAAGTAAATATGTATATATGTGCATACATATATTTCTTAATTAAAAATGCTTTAAACATTTTAAAAAAATATATTTTTCAAGTCTTTTGCACAAGGCCAAAAAAACATTTTTACTTAAGTTATTCTTGTTTTGGGCCAGTTAATTTTTTATTGCTGTAATACAGTCGAGTTACTAATAGACCATTCTATGCACTTCATAAGGAAGTCAAAGTCCAAGCATAGCTCATAAAATTAGTTGCGGCAGCGATTCGATTGGCTATGAGAATTTCGCTTGAAGCATAAAAATAAGCGAGACTTGAGTTTATTTTAAATTTAATTAGAAAACATTGAAGTAGAATGCGAAACTTGGGCAACATATTTCAGCCTTGAACTTTAGTTTTTTTAGGGCATGTATCGATGTTCACATTATATTTCATAGAAGGGATATACGTTTCACATATTCAGTAGGAGTTATTGACTTTATTATAAGAATTTGAATATTTCAGTAATTTTAATGATGCTATAAACTTCATATTAAATTTGAAATCATTATTACTCCAAACGTTCAGGCTATAACCCAGGCTATAGCAATAATATATTCAGGTTTTTTATTCATATGATAAATACATATTTAGGCTTATTTTATAAAGAGAACTGGTAACAGATATATCTGAATATTAATTATGCATAAGCGAATTTAGTTCTTTCAGAAAACAGTCTCTCGCTTTTTCTATGGGGTCTTTTGCTTTTTCTCACTTATTATTATCTTTTACTGAGTTTCTTGTTCAATACAATTTGCTGTATAGTTTTATTCTCTGAATATTGGACTTTACTCTCTATCAGTATCTCCATACCTCTTTTTCATTCTCTCAATATTCCATTCTGCATCTCTTTTTGCTCTATAAATATCGGTTTATCAATCTGTCTCTGTTTCTCCCAATATCTTGTTTTCATTAAATATATGTATATCTCTCTCTTGTTCTCTCTATCTCTCTCTCGATATATCTGAAATCCCTCTTCTTTTAACTTATTCTTTATTTCTATCCCACCATCTCCTTCTCTCTTTCGAATTCACTCCAATTCCTTGTCTGTAAGTCTCTCTTTTTCTCTATCTGTCTAGCTATCATCTCTCTCACTTATCTAGACCTCGTCAAGCCCGCTTAATATATGTATAAGTGCATATATTAGCATAATATTTACTCTATAAAATCAGTTATGACTGGCGCTAGCTTTGGCGCTGACTAAGTGCTTCCTTATTATACCCATTCTTGGGGCAGCTTTTGGACACAGGGTATTCACACCATATACAGAGAGATAAAAAAATAAACAAGTGCTATACATCTTATGGGTTAGCCCTGAGCCACTAAAGCGCAACCGGTTACAGAGACTAAGATTCAGATACAGATACAGATACAGATACAAAGATACAGATATGTTATTTATTTTATTTCTCGGTATTTTGCTGAGAGTTATTTTGTTTTTATTTAGTTTTATTTTAACCGCTAACATATATCATACGAAGTCAATTAATTAAAGTGGTTCAGCCTGTAAAATTTACATAATTAGCCGAAAGAAATAAACATTTGTCTATGTCCGCGGCTCGAACTTTGCTATTATCAATGCAGAAATTTATGCAAATCTGAGATCGTGAATCATAAAACCATATATATGTATGTGTATATATGCATACATATATATTTATCTGATGTTTTGCTTAAGCCAAATAGCATGCGTAGAAAGCAGTTAATTTAATTTTAGCAGTGGAAGTTAGCAAGTAAGAGATAAATTATATAGACATATATACGATATATATGCTAGCTGGATTAGCCTCCAGCTGAGCTGTCATTGAACGTCTGCCAGCTCATTCACCTATGCCGAAATCTGGTTTGACTTTAAGATAGATATCATCCGGTTTTGATTTTTGTTTAGTCTTTAATTTGTCCTCTAAGAATAAGACTAATTTCATTAACACACCAAAATCGAATTGTGATACATAAATTAAAGCCTGTCGATGTGTCTAAATGCACATATATACACACTATATACTATATATATATATATATATATATATATAGATAGTGTTTCCACTGTCTACCCAAAACATGCATCCGGTTCTGGCTTAGTCAAGGGCGCAGCATATTCAATTATGGATTTAAGGGTTGGGTTGGGTTGGCACCTGTATTACCATATGTAATTAGCATCCAGTGGGATAATCATAGAGCCAATCGAGTCTTACACTCTCTCGTGATCATGAATATATTACGTGCAAACATAAATTAACTCTGATTGCGATTATATCACCGATATTTGTTAGTTTAAATTAAATTAATTATTGTATGCTAATTCGAAGCATATGCTTGACAGGTTCTAGCAGTTTGCAGAACGTAACTCTCTACCTAACTATCTACTGGCAACTGGGTATAGCTATCGCATATCTAAAGCTGGCTACCGATTCGTGGCCTCCACGTTATATTCACACCTTCTCTTGCTTTTGTTTTTACTGATTTTCGTCATGTTTTGCTTTGTTTTGTTTTGTTTCCGCAGTTCTACACCCTGGCCGTGGCATTGGGCATTGTTTGCCTATCGTCAGCGATGCCCCAAAATCCGCAACAGCTGCAGGAGGGGCCCCACGCGCTGCTGGACATCGAGACACCCAACCAGTTCAGCTACAACTCGCCGCTGGCCCAGCCAGACAGCCTGCGCAATAAGCCCTACTTTGACTTCCTGAGCACGCTCTACGCCCACGACTCGGCCAAGACGAATCTGTTCAGGAATCGGCCGCAGCGCTCAGTGGAGCTGCAACCAGAGCCCGAGCTGAAGGCGGATGAACAGCAGCTGGCAGCTGCCGATCAGCCCAAGAGTCGTCGTCGGGATCGCAAGCGTCGCGCCATCGTCTTCCGGCCGCTCTTCGTCTACCAGCAGCGCGAGATCAAGAAGAAGGAGATCGCAGCCAGGAGACACAGCGATGAGGCGCAGCGCCGCAACTACTACAAGAACTACAAGCGCGTCTAGTCTTCAATCCTCTGGGAATCCGCTGAAATTAAATCTAATCTAATCTAATCTAATCAACAACCATGCGCAATCAACAGCAATGGCTATGGCTGTCACTGGTCTTCTACAGGGTCCTCTCTAGCACTTAGCTTTTAATTATTGTGTTTTAGCCTTAAGTCGAGTCGAATCAACGCACAACGCACTGCACTCAACCCGAATCGACAATCGAATATCTAAATATCGAATATCTGTAATCCATACTCTATGATACACATTATAATTATATAATCGCCCACACATCCACACATTTGCACATTCCCTCCCCAAACCAAGTATGTTAAGTAATCGTATACCCTAAATTAATACCCATCTATGTTATATTTGTTAACTGATTTTTACACAATTTGTTGCAATTAAAGCTAACAAAAGTTAAACACGATATTCAAGACTTTTTCTACTTCAAATCTATTTTAATTAGTTTTTTATATACTCATTTTTTTATTTATAGAGTCAAGACAGGAAATACGAGAATGTTCGATAAAAAAATTGAATTTTATATGGCTGATGTTTAGAGTGGTGTCTCAAGTTGGTTGTAGACAAATAATTTAGGAATTTTGGAAATAGAAATTAAGGATCAATTCTTCATTCCTAAGTATTTCTTTTCATAGGAATTTTGGCTCAACTCATTTAGAGTATACTTAAAATCCATTATCACTGTGAGCTCAGGTTTACACTCTTTTTTATGCAAATCTGTGTAATAGGCAGAAGAAGGCGTGGCCGACACCATAAATAATATGCATATATTCCTGAAGAGGATGAAGCGCATCCACATATGTATATATCCGTTGATCTGTCTGTACGACTGTTTATCTAAATGTACGTAAAGATTTCGTAAGCCACATCAGCTATAACCATAAAATTTTAAGTATATATTTCATAAAAGGCACGAGCTTATTATTTCTTTTTCGATAACTCATTCGACTTTCGTATTTTGCATAATTTGATTAAGTTTTTTATGCACTGAATGGCGGAACAAAGAAAAAAGCAAAATTAAAATTTACTGTGCGAGTTTCTCTGATAAATACACAAATTTTGAATGTTTCGGAATTTGTATACCTTCTCCCCTCTCATTTTTTATATATTACAATACTTTATGTATAATGTATAGAATAAATACATATAGAATAAAAATAATGTTTATTGCCGGTAAAAAAAAAAGAGGAAAGAGAAATGAAATAGCCAGAAATCGAGAACTGCTAGTCCTTGAGAGAACTATCGTACAGCAGAAACCGCTGTCTATGCCATTTAATAATTATAAATATTAATGTACATAAGAATATCAACATATAGCCACAGCAAATTCTTGATCAGAGTACTGAGGGAATACGATTGTTTCCCTATTTATCTGTTCGTCTCTCTATCTGTCTGCCCAACAAAAACGAGAGACGAAGAAAGGCTACCGAAGATCATTCAAGTCGTCTATATGTATGCAGCAGCATGCCTTCGGCTTTTATTTATGAGTAAAACGAAGCTAGAGTGATTGGAGCAGCAGAGAGTGCTCCCATTGGTCGGCTGCAACGATCCCTACCTGTCACCGAGATCAATATTTGAGAGCACTTTATGGTTTGAGTAAAAGTCGCCCTATATAAAGGGCAGCTGCTGCAGCATTTCTTCAGTCGCCCAGGTCTAGTGGGGGTCAGTCGTGCAGAGAAGTGTGTGAGTGTTCAGCTGAGCATTAAAGACTTAAAGGAAATACTTAGAGGAAATTCTCTCTTGGCAGAATTCAAAGAGCAACTTAGAGGAAATACTTTGCTTTTTCTTTGTCGCACTCTCGCACTTAATGTTAATCAAACATATTTATTTATAAATATTTTTATCATAATAATCTAAAATGTAAACAAATTATAAAAATGGAATTAATATAATTAACTTAATATGGAGTTCATTTACTGAATGCTTCAGACAAAAAGCAGATTTCCTCGAGATATAATCCTCGGGAGTAATTTGAATCACTCGCCCCAGACAATATTCTCAATCCAATCCGTATAGAGATGAACCTTGGTGTAGACGCTGGGAAATTTATAATTGCCGCAGATGGCGCCGTACGAGGTGATGCCAATCACCTGCTTTAGGCAATTGTAGACCGGGTGCTGCACGAAGATGGGTCCGCCAGAGTCGCCGTTGCAGGTGTCTGCCTGGCTGTTCGCTGAGCCGGAGCCAGCGCAGAACTGAGTGCGGGATACGATGCGACTCTCGAGGCGCTCGCTGCACACCTGGTCGCCGTAGCGCTTGAGGCCCACTTGCAGCAGCTTTGAGGATTTGTCGCCCGCATTCTTGGTGTAGCCCCAGCCGGCGGCAGTCAGATCGAGGTGCTCGTCGCCGCTGCCGGAGGGCAGACAGGCGGGCGCCACATACTCATTGAGTGTGGCATTTCGGTCCAGCTCGAGCAGCGCGATGTCATTTAGGCGGCTGCCATCATCCTCATTCTCATCATAGGCCGGATGCACCACATAGTTGACTAGTCGAAAGTCCTGGGGCTGGGCATCGTCTGTGGTGCTGTTGTAGTCCAATTCACCCAGGCGTACCACGAATTTGGGCGATTTGTAATTGGGATCTAGGCGTTGCTCCTTCGTCTCGGTTGTCTCCAGGCAATGGGCGGCAGTTAGCACAAACTTCGGGTGGATTAACGTGCCTCCACAATCCCAGCTAATGGTGGAGCTGCCTGGCTGTTGTATGCCCAGCAGCGCCATGAAGGGATACTCGCGACCTTTGACCTCGGTGCCACCCAAAATGAGCGGCGTGGAGCGGCAGGTGGGTCGCACATCATTATATCGACGGCACTCTGCGAATATCCACAAACAATGTTCAATTAACATAAATATTATTTCCAACCATTCGCTTCTCTCACCCTTCTCGTACAACTTCCTCGGATCGGCTGGTGTCATCACTCGCTTCTGTGCATTCAGTGGCAGCGGGCAGCAAACAATGTCTTTAGCCTTGTCGCAGTATTTAATATTGTTGGCTTCGATAATAAATTCAATATAGAAGAGGACGGGGCAGTCTGTGGCTGTGAGCTCCTTGCACTCGCCAGTGCCATTGTCACAGTACTCGGTCGTAGGCGCCGCCCGAGCCGACAAGGCTGAGAGTAGAAAAATTGCCAAAAATGCAGAATTCGTGTTCATTGCCTTCAGCATCTGTTGAGAAACTGAGCTCAATTTAGACGCGTGTTTCCAGCCAAACCAGATTATTATATAGACAACAAAACTCATGAGGCAAACATTAAACAAGAAAAGTAAATAATCAAAATAAACAGCAAAGTTCGCTCGTCTACATGGCTCCCATTCACTCGCCATTTTTCTTATCGCATGGCAATCTGTATATACGCTTGATGGGTCAAGGTGGGACTCAATTTCACTTGCCTTGCTCAACTTAAGTATTAATCATTTATTTTATGATTTTTTTTACCGTCAAATATATGAATCTCTAAAAGAAGTGCACATGTTCTTAAATAAAAATAATAAAGAATTTAAAAAACTTTTTAATTACATTTTAGTGACAAGGATACCATTCAAAATCGCTTGCAATTTCTCTTAAGGAAAATTTTAAATTAACCGAATTACATTTGTCGATGTAGCCATTTTGGCGGTCAAAATTTTCAATGAATTCAAGTTATCGGAAATTTTAGGGCTAATTTTACCAGCCAGTGTAAGTTATCGTTAGGCGCGTATGCAGCTCAACACTTCTCCACTTTTGTACGGTGGGATATTTATCGTTATCGGAAATGCTTTATATTGCGATGTTTTCGGTACATCACTAGTTCTTCTATGTACCTCGACGCTGAATGGTGTGTTTGCGCACACTTTTCTGCAAAAAAAATATTTTAAGTGCAGAAATAGGCGAAAATATTGAAGAATCATTGCATTCGCGATTACAGCACAATTTTTGCAACGCGCCAGCATTGTTTTTACGCACGGATGCATATTTGTGATGTGGATATATTGTGATTAAAAATTTTCCCCATCTGAGGTAGGAAAAAAAAATGGTTGAAAAATTTCTGCCCAACAAAGAACCGACGCCGACGTAGAAGCAGCAGACATACAAATATAGCCGTCTCATTCTAGCATCGGTCATTCGATTAGCATGCTTGAAAAGTGCCGCAACTAACAACTGTTAGCCAACCTAAAATTAACGTGCAGTTTTATAAAAAAAAATTTTTATTAATAATGACCAAGTGCAATAAAAATATTTCTATACAACGCGTGTGTGTGTATAATGAAAAAAAGGAAGCGCAGCCATTTGCAATGCACAGTTGCAAATCGATTGTATTTTGCAGGGATGCAAGCTGCCTATATGATACGCGATATGAAATATTATCACTGAAAAAGTCTTAAATGTAATGCTTACGCAGCAGAAAAAGAAATAGTATAAAGATACTATATAGCTGTACATTATTGGGCACGATTACCGCTAACATACGTATGTTCATACATATCTGCTATCCAGGGCTGCCAAATGTGCGCTGTCAAACGCAACACGCGATAATTTGGAGTGGTGGTTATAATGTTTCTTTTCCCGCCTTTTTCAGATGTCTCAAACATGAATGAAGGTAATTCAGCAGGAGGGGGGCATGAAGGGCTAAGCCCGGCCCCTCCTGCTGTGTCAGACCGTGTAACGTTACAATCAACGGAAAAATCAGTTACAACGCCAAAATCAACAGCAACTGCACACAACAACAATAAATCATCATCAGCAACATCAACAGTAGCAACAACGCAGCAGAAACCCAGCAAACAACAACAACAACAGCAGCAGCTGCTCAGTGCGCAGCTGCCTGTGCCGCTGTCGAACTTGTCGACAGAGGCAACGGCAGCCGCAACGCCAGCAGCAGCTTCCACATACTCCTCCAATTCAGCAAAAGCAGATACCTCCGTTTCAGAGTCAATAGCGCCGCCCCAGGCAAAGCGTCAGCGTTTAGAAGACACGGAAGTGGGAGGCGAGGTCGCCAGTGACAATAACAACAGCAACATTGTTGGAGCCGTTAGTAGCAACATCGTTGGCTCTTTACTGCCAGCGTCGGTTGTGGCCAGCAGCGAAGTTGGTGGGGCCATTTCAACGGCACTACAGGACTTGAATGCGCTCAAGAAGCGCATTCTCCAACAGAAATATCAAATTTTGCGTAATCTTAAGGAAAGGTAAATACGACTCAGACAAATTTGGGAACATTTTTAAAATTGTACTTTCGATTCGCAGGCATCTTGAAAATGTGTCGGAATACTTTTATTTACAAAACGGTGGCAGTATGATGGACTACCCCGCGTGGCGTAAAAAGACACCAACACCGCAGTTCATCAGCTACAGCAATGCGAATCGTATCGAGCAGCTGATACTCGAGGAAAAGCCAAGCACATCCGCCGCCGCAGCAGCAGCAGCTGTGGCCCAAGGACACCGAACAACGCAACAACCAACACAACAACAACCGCAGCAATCTTCGGATTCAGTCGTTAGTAATAGTAACAGCAGCAGTAGCAGCAGCCCTGCAACTGCAACAACAACCAGTACAGGGACAACAGGCAAACAGTTAGAGACAGATAACAGCACACAAACAAAAACGGTAATCATACAAACTTAAACAAATATTCGTGCGATCAACTACTTGTAGTAGAATCCTTAGCTAACATATCTAACCTTTTATATTTAAATTTCCTTAGAATACGCAATCTCTGTTGCCAACAAAATCTGGCAGCAATACAACTGCAGTAACAGCGACAGCGTCGTCAAGTCCAAGCCGCGGTGGGCCAACTACAAAAACTACCACAACAGTAGCAGCAACTGGAGCATTGCCGATAACCAGCAGCTTAGTGGAGACGAGCGGTAATGCATTGCCACCGGAGGCGGAGATAAAGATACCAGCAGTTGGTGCGACGCCAGTCGCCGTCTCCACGAAGCTACCCGCCGCCGTAGTACAGTTGACGCAGCAAGGTAAGACAAACTCGTTCAGGATAAGATTTAACTTCATCAGGATTTAAACTCTCTCGATATTTCGTATTTATCATTGTTATTATTTTGTGTTTTGTTGTTTATCTGTTCTTTCGTTAATTACTTTTCAAAATTAACGTATAACTAAAAAAAAAAAAATTACAAAAAATAGAAACATACCAAAATTCAACAATGTCGAAACAAAACATTTGCATACATATATAAGAAGCAAGTAAAAACTAAAATGTTACCAAATCCTCAGCCTAAAACTAAAATAAATAACCGCGCCCTGAACAACTTTCCAGCAACTGTAACAGTACAAAGCACGCCCTGCACAAAACATTAAAAGTTGTCTCGCACAAGCAAGGGAAAAGAAAATAAAACTAGCAATAAAACCCATAAAATGCGCTACTAATACTCACGAACTTAATGTATATGACACACACACACACACATACTTATATACACGCAAACACAAAATACTAAAAAACTTAATATATTGTATGCATATATATTATAATAACTACATACACATTGTCTCAATATCAATTACCTTATTGTATTGCTGTACATCATTTAATTTATAATATCTTTCAGCTTTGTGTTGTTTATGATTTTATGTTTCTGTTATTTCTGTCACAATTGTTACTCCTCCGCCTCCTAACGCACACATCAACTCTCTTTCTCAACTCACCATCAAATTGTATCGTTATTATATAGGTCACATACCCGGTAGACCTCTAGGAGGTCGTCACGGTATGGTCTTCGGTCAAATACCCGCGCCTCCTGCCGTAGGAAATTCTTCTGTACCTTTGGTGCCAGGTGCTTATCGTTCGCAAAAAAACTAAAAAAAAAATGCCAAATCACATTTTCATTTTTAAGTCTTGTTTTGAATATTGAAGTATTTTCATAATTTTTCATTTCGTTGTTGCCGCCAATTAAACGCGTAGTGCATTTGACTTAACTATATACATTGCATTCGATGTGCCTATTTATTGTTTTGTACCAAAGATTTATCAATATTACATTAGAATTGGTGTTTTATATCCATTCTTTTTAATTTTGATTGGACAAATATTTAATAGTAATACCATTATTTATATATTCTATTTTTCCATTCTAATTAATGGAATGTAAAAATACGTTTTTATTTGGTTTGCTAAATTATCATAGTTTAGATTTGATCTTTGCCTATATAGTGTTGACACAGCCAATATAAGTTTTAACAATCATTTATCAAATTCCATCCATACATTAAATGTTTCATAATTCCTTGTTTTCACCAATTGCTTCACTTTAGACTTGTTCAAAGCATTTTTAATTGCACCTAAAAGCGTTTTCTTGTACGCCAATTAAATGCGCTTGAAAATCGTAGATGTGTGCTAGATCAAAGCTAAGTTGCAAGTGACTCTTTGAAGTATTTAAAAGGGTCCATAACGCTGAGTACATTTGAAAATTATCATTAAGATATGGTAGATATATGATAATATAGTGGCACCTAAAAGCGTTTTCTTGATTGCTTTTTAAACGCGCCTGAAAATCGTAGCTGTGTGCCAGAGCAATTGTTGCGGTTGCAAGTGAATTGATGTCAATTAGTGCAACAATTCCATTTACACCACGCACAAGATAATTAATTAGAGATCAGAAGTATGTTAGCGCTTCATGTCTCCTTGAGTATATACATTTTAACGTCTACTCTTGTAAGATATCCTTTATAAGAATAGAATCCATTCATGCAGGCGCACTCTGTGTCACGTTGAACTATTTCCACATGTGATGACAATTTGTTAACCTTGCTAAAGTAAATTAAAGTCTCGGTTTATCCGTGTGATCGTGTCCTCAAGACTGATCTCATTGACTCGCGTCTTACACCCATCTAAGATTAAACATAAATGTGAGGGATTATCATTCCTTTACTTAAGATTTAGAATATTGCATGTAGTTGACTTAGTTTCTCTACCTTTTTTCATTTTCCATTACTTTCCTTAGCATATTTTAATAAATACATACTATAATAAATACACTTACTAATTCGCAACAAATATGGTTCAATTAATTAATTGATTGATTGATTCGAACGTTCTCTTCTTTTATTAATTAATTTTTATCGCTTTAATATGGTAGCGTGTGTTGATGATGCAATTTTCCGGCATGCAAGTTGGCTAAGAGCTATCTGTAATATCTTGAACCGTTTGCTAACTTTTTCACTGTTTTTCTTCTAAAGGTGGCACGCCGTTGGTGCCCTGTAGTAGCTCCTCTGGTTCAGCGGCGCTGCGTCGTCCAAACTCACAACAGAATGCAGCAGGAGCACAAAGTGCGTCAACTGGCGGAGCGACATCATCGCCGCTATACACGGGTGGGGCCAATGGTACGAGTGCGACCGTTGGGAGTGGCAGTGGTGGCGTCCTGACACCCTGCACACCTGGTGGCAGCAGCGGAAGCCTGATGAGTCCACTCGCAAGCACAGGCACGCCCAACAGTGCGCAGGAGTTTTCGTTTAAGGCCAAGCAGGAGGTGTACGTGATGCAACGTATATCCGAACTACAACGAGAGGGATTATGGACTGAGCGGCGTTTGCCCAAGCTACAGGAGCCCAGCCGACCCAAGGCGCACTGGGACTATCTGTTGGAGGAGATGGTCTGGCTGGCAGCTGACTTTGCGCAGGAGCGCAAGTGGAAAAAGAATGCAGCCAAGAAATGCGCCAAAATGGTGCAAAAGTATTTCCAAGACAAGGCCAACGCGGCGCAGCGTGCTGAAAAGGCCCAAGAACTGCACCTAAAACGCGTCGCCTCCTTCATTGCGCGCGAGGTGAAAAGCTTCTGGTCAAATGTAGAGAAACTGGTCGAATATAAGCACCAAACAAAAATCGAGGAGAAACGCAAGCAGGCTCTGGATCAGCATCTCAGTTTCATAGTCGATCAAACAGAGAAGTTCTCACAACAGCTGGCCGAAGGCATGAACAAAAATGTGGCCGAAACACCTAGTCTAACATCCAGTCGCCTAACATCCCCCAAACGCGAATCAGATGGTAAGTCTTTTATTCAGAAACCACACTATAATCTCTTTTTGCACATGATGAGACACTTAGACTGAAACGTTGTTGTGGTCTATTCTTGAACACTCCGATGTTATTAAGGGATGGTCGCATTCGCGAGGCATTTGTCTGATGCATTAAGAAATATAATTACTATTACTACATATAAAGATCAAATGGAATTAAACGAAAAATTTATTTTACAGATGAATTTAGGCCTGAGTCTGGCTCTGAGGATGATGAGGAGACAATAGCCAAGGCTGAGGAAGAGGCAGCCGATGTCAATGAGGAGGTCAAAGCGCTGGCTAAAGAATCTCAAATGGACTTTGATGATTTCCTCAATGATTTGCCACCTGGCTACTTGGAGAATCGTGATAAACTGCTGTTAGAGGAACAGAACTCAACAAAAGGCGCTTCCACAAGTGCTGCAGCAGCTGAAGCTGACGATAGCGATGATAGCGAATTCCAAGCCAAGGAGGCGAGCGATGATGATGAGAACACCATCAGTAAACAGGAGGAGGCCGAGCAGGAAGTTGATCATCAGAAAGAGATCGACGAGCTGGAGGCTGACAATGATTTGACCGTAGAGCAACTGCTCGAGAAATACAAGTCGGGTAAAATCAATGAGCCACCCAGCGCCAAGAGGCGTAAAATTGCTGTGGAAACCTCAGAGCAAGACTCTGATGATGACTCGACAGCCATTGAAGATTCAACAGACAGCAGCGAAGTGGAAGCGAGTGAGGAGGAAGACGAAGATATGTCAACCGTTAAGAGCGATTCGGACCAGGAGGAGGGTGAGCAAGAGGATGGTCTCAAGAGTTTGCTAGCTGATGCCGATGGTTCTGGTGTGGATGGAGCGGGGAGTGCGGCTGGTGTTGGCAGTAAGGACAACAAAGATGATATGTTGAACGATGCTGCCGCACTGGCTGAAAGTCTACAGCCGAAGGGTAACACGTTGTCCTCGACCAATGTCGTGACGCCTGTTCCATTCCTATTAAAGCACACGTTACGTGAGTACCAGCACATTGGACTCGATTGGCTGGTCACCATGAACGAGCGCAAGCTCAATGGCATTCTGGCTGATGAGATGGGATTGGGCAAGACGATACAAACTATAGCATTGCTGGCGCATTTGGCCTGTGCTAAGGGCAACTGGGGACCCCATTTAATCGTGGTGCCCTCTTCTGTGATGCTTAACTGGGAAATGGAGTTCAAGAAATGGTGTCCAGGCTTCAAAATACTCACCTACTACGGCACGCAAAAGGAAAGAAAGCTCAAACGTGTCGGCTGGACGAAACCAAATGCGTTCCATGTCTGCATCACCTCCTACAAGCTGGTCGTACAGGATCAACAGAGTTTTCGTCGTAAAAAGTGGAAGTACCTCATTCTTGACGAGGCACAAAACATTAAAAACTTTAAATCACAGCGTTGGCAACTGCTGCTTAACTTCTCCACCGAAAGGTCAGTAATTGTTATTGCAAAAATTATTACTAATTGTTATTGCCAATAATTGCAATACAATTGCTCGCGTGCGCCAGCACCAAAATCAGTAACCAAGCGACTGCTAAACTAGCTTGGCGACTACGCTTGGGTGCTAAAATTAAATACGCTATGATGCCGCATTTATTAAAAGAGCATACTAACCCATTAGAATGCTTGTGGCCTTGTTTTGTAACAAGTTTCTATTTGTTTTTAATTAAATTTCGAACTTGCATTTGACTGCATTGTTTTTCTAACTTAAAATAATTATTTTAATAATTATGGCGTAAAATAACTGATACTTATAAATGAAATATTTACTATTCATAACAGACGCTTGCTCTTAACGGGCACGCCACTGCAGAACGATCTTATGGAGCTCTGGTCCCTGATGCACTTCCTCATGCCATATGTGTTCTCCTCGCATCGCGAGTTCAAGGAATGGTTCTCCAATCCCATGACTGGTATGATCGAAGGCAACATGGAGTACAATGAAACGTTAATTGCTCGACTACACAAGGTAAATAAAGTTGATATTGTCGGTTAGTTTTAAGAGGTCCTAAAGGGTAGCACCTAAAAGCGTTTTCTTGCACGCCAATTAAATGCGCTTGAAAATCGTACATGTGTGCTAGATCAAAGCTAAGTTGCAAGTGACTCTTTGAAGTATTTAGAAGAGTCCATAACGCTGAGTACATTTGAAGATTATCATTAAGATATGGTAGATATATGATAATATAGTGGCACCTAAAAGCGTTTTCTTGATTGCTTTTTAAACGCGCCTGAAAATCGTAGCTGTGTGCCAGAGCAATTGCTGCGGTTGCAAGTGAATTGATGTCAATTAGTGCAACAATTCCATTTACACCACGCACATGTTAATTAAAGATCACATAATCCTTATATGCAGGCGCACTCTGTGTCACATTGAATTGCCTCGTGTGATGACAATTTGTTAACCTTGCTAGAGTAAATTGATGAAGCTGCGATTTATCCATGTGATCCTGTACCTCAAATGGATTACATTGAAAACTCGGCTTACACTCGTTTAAATATGAAAATTGAGCAGTAATTTAGCTAATTTCGAAATAGTGAATCCTGTCAAGTCTTTTTATGCAGGCGCACTCTGTGTCACATTGAATTATCTCATGTGATGACAATTTGTTACCCTTGCTAGAGTAAGTTGATGAAGCTGCGACTTATCCATGTGATTGAGTTTTTCCAGCTGATTGCATTGAATGCGCGCTTTACATTACTTTTATTCATATATTTATATATCAGTATCAATTTGAGAAAGTATTAAAATACCTATTTCTCTTTCTTTATAGGTTATTCGTCCATTTCTGCTGCGTCGGCTTAAAAAAGAGGTGGAGAAGCAAATGCCAAAGAAGTACGAACACGTTGTCATGTGCCGTTTGTCGAATCGTCAACGTTATCTGTACGAAGATTTCATGAGCCGATCCAAGTGAGTTTTTAAAATGATCTAAGACCAATTATAGTTTAATATTACTGATTTTAATTTGCAGAACTCGCGAAACACTACAAACTGGCAATTTGCTGAGCGTGATCAATGTGCTTATGCAGCTGCGCAAGGTGTGCAATCATCCAAACATGTTTGAGGTGCGGCCAACGATATCGCCGTTTCAAATGGAGGGCATTGCGTTCCATACACCACGTCTAGTCAGCGACATCTTGGAGTATGATCCGTTCACGGTGAGTTAGTGTATGGCAGATCTATAGAAGCATATTTCTTTCGCTGTTAAAATGATGATAAACTGTCACTGAACATTGCGACTCGATCTATTTTGGAGAGAGATGCGATTCACTAGGATGTTCGCTGTTGCGAGGCATTTGCCTGATTTTAAATCAACTCAGATATAATATTGATGACAAAAACTGGACATTGACTAATAGTGATCTCTTCTTCATTTTCACTTGTAGCAAATTAATTTGGAAACCGTCAACATGCTGTTACTGCATCTGGAACAAACGCTGACTGCCTACGTCTCACACAAGTCGCGACTTTTGTCGCCGCCACGCAAGTTGATTGAGGAAATCGACAGTGCACCGCTACCTCCGCCACGTTGCCCCAACGGCAAGTACCGCTTTCACATACGTGTGCGTAGCGCGGAGCTGGCACAGCGCATAAAACTGCAAGCGGTGCGTGTTGGTGCCAGTCCGGCCATGAGACTGGAAGGCTCAAAAATTGTCCCCATGCGCAGCCTGCTGCCCAGTGGACATGTGCTGAAACGTGTCACCGGCACTATTAATCCCATCAATATGGCCCTGAAGCCTGTGATAATTAATAGTCTAACATCAACGACGGCCAGCAACAGCAGCAGTAGCAGCAGCACACCTCTGAATGTGTTGGGAAACAGCTCCAAACTTTTAAGTTCGCGTTCGCCCATAGGTGCTCCAACACCTGCCAAGGTAGCCAAAACAATGCAGGATGGTAAACCCTTTTTCTACTTGGCTCCTGCGACAAATACCGGTGGGGCTGGAGCACGGCTTACGTTGACAAGCAAAACTACATCCGCGAGCTCCACAGTCAGTGCGACAGCGGTGAGCGCAACGGCAACGAGCAGCAGCTCCTCAGCGCAAATGCAGCAGTTGATCAAAGATCCGATTGTCAAAGATCTGGCTACGCATGTGAAGCTGACGGCGCAAAGGCAAACCAATGGAAAGACTCAGGACGAGGACTCGAAATCAACGTCTGAGGAGGCTGAAGATCCTTATCGCGTGCAGCAGCTTATACAGATGCGAAAGGAACAGCGCTTGGCTTCGCTTAAACGCATGGCTCACATCAATCGCCGCCGAACTGATGCCACGCCCATTTATGGAGCTGATTGCCGTGAGGCCATCGAGGGCTGCATGCAGGCAACACGTACAGCAAAGCATTCTACCTGGCAAACGAGAGGATTTGCGAATTGTACCGTTGCTATGCGACACCACGACGACAACTGGTCACTAAATCGCCTGCTGAAGAATTACGAGCAGCGTTGCGCCGAACTGGCGCCAATCTTCGCTAACTTCGTAATTTATGTGCCGTCAGTGTGTGCGCCACGAATACGTCGCTATGTGCAGAATTTGTCATCGACGCACTGGCAGACCGAACGGCAGATCGAGACGACAATAACTCAATCGTTGTCGCCCAAACTGGCACTGTTACATCCCATAATCTCGGCGATGACTACACAGTTTCCCGATCCGCGTCTCATACAATACGATTGTGGCAAGCTGCAAACGCTGGATCGTCTGTTGCGGCAGCTAAAGGTTGATGGGCATCGTGTGCTGATCTTCACGCAAATGACCAAAATGCTGGACGTGCTGGAGGCATTCCTTAATTACCATGGTCATATATACCTGCGGCTCGATGGCTCAACACGGGTGGAGCAGCGACAAATACTCATGGAGCGTTTCAATGGAGACAAGCGTATCTTTTGTTTCATTTTGTCTACACGTTCTGGAGGTGTAGGTGTCAATTTAACCGGCGCCGATACTGTAATCTTCTATGACTCCGACTGGAATCCGACGATGGATGCCCAGGCACAGGATCGCTGCCATCGCATTGGGCAAACTCGAGATGTGCACATATATCGGCTGGTGTCAGAGAAAACCATCGAAGTCAACATCCTGAAGAAGGCCAACCAGAAGCGCATGCTCAGCGATATGGCCATAGAGGGCGGCAACTTTACGACCACTTTCTTCAAGAGCACCACAATTAAAGATTTGTTTGCGGTCGACCAGTCGCAGGAGTCGGAGGATGGTCAGGATAAGCCCGATGAGAAGGACAAAATAATTGCCGCTGAAGTAGAGCCTGTCGTCGAAACCGAGAAACAATCGCTGCGCGCCTTTGAGCATGCTCTTGCTGCTGCCGAGGACGAGCAGGACGTTCAGGCCACGAAGACGGCCAAGGCTGAAGCAGCTGCCGATCTTGCCGAGTTCGATGAGAATATACCCATTGCGGATGAGACTAATGCGGACGGTGGAAATGCACCGGTCGAACTGAGTAAAGCCGATCTGGAAATGCAAAATCTTGTCAAGCAGGTAGGCTGTCAAACCATTTAATTATGATATGATGGGCAGTGTTGGCTTTTATTAAAGAAGCTTGTTAGTTGCCCTTTGAGCTAGCCAACGCTGCCCCGAGAAACTTCAATATGAAGCAGACGTTCAGACATAGTCGAAGCGATTCCATTTCACGCCCGATTATATCACTCAACGTCGGACATAATCACAGGATACTGTTCCGGAATATACTCTTAATGCTATTTATTTACATTTACACATTTAGCTCTCGCCGATTGAGCGCTATGCCATGCGTTTCGTGGAGGCTACCGGCGCCGCCTGGACAGCTGAGCAGCTGCGAGCCGCCGAGGCGGAGCTTGAGATGCAGAAACGTGAGTGGGAGGCGAATCGCTTGGCAGCTATGCAAAAAGAGGAGCAGCTGCTCAAGCAGGAGACCGAGTCCGAGGAGCTTCTGACATACAGTCGCAAGGATGCCAGTAACCAGGTTAATACCAAACAAGATTCCAATCTAAGTAAACGAACATCGATTGTAGCGGTAGGAGGTATTAGGCTAACCAAGCAGAATAAGCGCGACAAACGGTTTAAGCAACACGGTATAACCAGGGGTGGTCCGGGTTTAAGTAGAAGTGTAAGTAACCACAAGTCAAGATCCAATGTGCAGCAGACTAGTCCAGTACGCACGCGCCGAAATAGCCTCAATGTGAGTGCTCCGGCCAGGAGTAGCTGTAACACTAACAATAGCAGTAAAAAGTCAGTGACTGGAACATTACCAGCGCCATCTAGGCGACAGACGCGTCTGCATTCGCTGGGCGAAGATAATGTTACTGTCACGGCCACAGCGACACCGCCCACTAGAAAGACAACGCGCACAGCAATGGCAGCAGCAGGCGGTACTTCAACGCCCGTGTCGGAGGAGCGACCCAAGCGTCAGTCGGCTAATATAGCCATGACCAAGCTTATGAAGACACCGGTAAGACCTGCGACAGCCACTGCAGCTACACCTGCCAAGAATACCACTCAGGTGGCCAAGCCTAAACGCAGGGAAAGCGTCTCACTAACAACAAGCGCGGCCAACCGGCGGAAGCTGCTCGAGCGGCGTGCAACGATATCATCGCCTTTGGCCTTGAAAGGCAACGACAGTGATGATGAGGATGAGGACGAGGGCGATACCAATGAGAAAGATGATGATGAGGAGGGCGATGGTGATAGCGAGGAGGAAGATGCATCCATTCAGGTTGATGACGATGAAGATAAAGACGAAGATGAACAAGAAGATGACGAGGAAACAGTTGTCTCTGGCTCAGCGTCTGCCTCTGCACAGGAGGATACTACACAAACTGAGGATGAAGAATTACATGTGGAAAGGTTAGACGAAGAAGAAGAAGACGAGGAGGAGGAGGATGATGAAGAGCTTAATGTAGAAACACAGTCCAGCTCAAGCTATGCTACAGCCGGTGAAGGTGCCGACAGTTTAGATGGCTGGAATGCTCACACTCAGGTCCAAGACACCACAATGACGAGTTCCACATATTACAATGTCTCCGAGGAATCGGACACAGACGAGACCAACGATCCGTTATCAGTGTCCAAGGCAGAGAACAAAACGGAAACCAAGGAATCCACGCCAGCATTGCAGAGGCAACGTAGCAATAGTAGCCGTGGAGGCAGCGATGAGCCCGTTGGGCACACACCACGTACACGTTCCCGAGGTTCGGTAAAGATAAATCTTTGGACTTTGGATGTGAGTCCTGTGCCGAATATACAGAAGAGCACCGGAAGTGGAGCTAGTAAAAACGTGGTGAAGCGAACCACGCCACAAGTAGAGACAAAGCTAAAGGGTCGCCAACGACAACCAGCTGGTGGGAATAGGCGGCTCATAAAGAAACTTAATGAGGGGCAAACGACAACACTCAGTCGTTGGATAACCCAGACGCCGCGAGTGCGATTACGCTCCAGCAATGCAGGAATTGCCGTGCCCAGCAATAGCAGCGGCAATACAAGTGCTGCCAGCGCCTCAACGGGAGTAGCCGTGGCAGCCAAGACAGGCGCCAATGGTGCCAGCAGCAATAGGTGATAATTGAGTGAACAGAAGTCACAGTATTAACTATATATAACGAAAACACAATAATCTTGCTGGAAATCCTCATTCAATCTGCGAAGCTGTGAAGTTGTGTGCGTGGTGTGGTTTTTAGTGAGCATTCGTATTGGCCACGTGACTGTCAAAGAGTTGCTATTGAACTATGTACGAGTATTTAATAGACTGTAACAAGTTTCCTTCTAAGCTAGTTAGATGGCAAAAATCAAAGGCAGTGAGAAACGGAATAAAGTTTGGGGCAGGGCGAAAGTTTAGGATAACAAATTGTGTTTAGTTTAGGTAGTGCGAAGTAGGAGGGGGCAGCCACTCCATTCGACCGGTTCTAACTGTTCTTAATTGTATTGTCCAAAATGCAATCGAATTCAACTTCTATTTATTAACTGATAAGCTTCTAAAGCTCTAGCCACACAATACTGATATTTTCATAACAGAACACGATAGTTTTAAGATTTTAATTATAGTTTTAGGAATATAGTCTAAAAACATTTGATAGGTGCTGCCCCCTGCCACGAATGCAAGTCTATTTAATTTAAGAAATACGAACCCAGATTGTATATAAGTAAACGCATCAACAACGGATATATCATCAGAATATAGTTTTTAGATTAAATATATATATTATTATTATTTAAGCAGTGTGCGGTTAACTTTTTAAAAAGAAGTAACTAAAAAAAAAAAAAAAAACCTACTCCATTTGTATTATTATTAATTTCGTTGTTAAATTTCTGTTCTCTATCTAAGTCTTCAAAGAACTCTCCTCAGCTAATGCGCCTTAGTTTATAAGTATCACTCCTTAGGTAACACTTTTAACTCTATGGTAAATGTTAATATTTTTGCATTCAATAATTTATTTTGTATTCTAAAGAAACAACTAGTTTAGCATTAAAAAACACAATCTAAAGACTATAAGCATATAGATTGACTAACAAATAAAACACAAAAATCGATTCGATATGCTTTCAAAAAAAAAAAAAAAAAAATAATAATGAAAAAGAAAAATGTAAGACGTTGTGGTTTTTATTTCTACGAACAAATTTCGTGCGTGTTTTTATTATTAAAAACAAAAAGAATAACATTTCGAAGGCAATTGCACAAAGTTGGAAAAGAATAAGCGGAAATCAGAAGCAAGAATAAGATTGAATCATATTATTTTCTGTGTTAACGAATGTAGAATTCTGTTTTGGTGTCGCAAAAGATAATGAAAAAAAAAAAAAACTACAATTATTTAGAATCAAAAATAATAATATATATTTTAAAAGAATTCATTGTCTATTCGTTGGTTTGTTTGTTGGCCCTATCTCTTCCCATTGCCTTTACCTTATCCAGCCACTCATCGATTTCCGCGTATAGAAAGTTCCATATACTTTGCCAATTGTTCTTCAGTGCCGTACGAAATGGTTCCGGAAATAAAACAACAAGTGAAAGCAAACACGCTAATTCATACTTTAAACTAGATATGATCGATGATACGATGATACTATAGTTAGCTAGTTACTAAGCCAATAAACACCACCACCAAAACAGAGTTGCTTCATACGATACGAAAATAATATAATGAAACGTTTATTCTTTTCTTTAACTTTGCGCTTTGCTCGGCCCGCGGTCGCACGTCTTCAGGTCTGGATATCGCGCAATACCATGGAGCAGATGCCGGTAAGTGGATCAGTTGAGCTGAAGTCCTGTTTCGCATCATTATAATCGATTGGTATTTGTTTTTGATTAGATGTGGTGCCCGCCTACGCCACCGCAAGACAATAATGACATCTACATTGATCACTCGCTGTCGTTTATGTACGATCTGGAGCCAATACCCGAGTCCGAGCTTCCTCCCGTTTATGTGCGACGCGAGCTGAAGCGATCGCGTACCGATGCCGGCTTCGATGGCAGTCGGCGTCCGAACAAAATGCGACGCGAGGATAACTATGTGCCGCCACGTTCGTTGTTTGATCGTCCCACAGCGCAGCTGGCGCGTTTGCGGCGTGAGCTAAAGAATCAGCGTTTCCGTGGCAGCTTTAAGCCGAATTCGATGATACCTGGTCTGAAGCCGCAGTTGCCGGCGAAGCCGCTGACTGAGCCAGAGGCCATGAGTGAGTGGTGCGTGTTCGAGGACATGGCCATACTTCATGTGCTGATCAATTTGCAGGGTCTGCCGTGCAGCCTGATGCTGCTCTCGCCGGGTCAGACGCCCAATTGGGATCTAGTTTCGGAGATAGTGAACTTCTGCTCGAAGACGTATCGCTCGGCCAGGCAGTGCCGCTGGCGTTACGAGACTCACATTCAGCCACGTGAGGAGGGCAAAGTGGTGGAGAGCCCCAAGAAGCAAAAGAAACTGAAGCCCACGTTGCGCATGGAGTACATGAAGAGTCCGTTGCGCTATTTGCGCACCACACAGCTCTATGCCAGCGATAACAATGCCTCCTTCTATAAGGTGATGCGACAGCGGTTTGACACCATCAAGACGACCTACTTGAAGAAGGCGCCGGCACCGAAGCGTCAGTATAATGCACCCAACCTGATGAATCCCAAACATATGGAGGTGTTGCAGAAGTTTGGTATTAGCAACTACGATCAGCCCGTGTCGCCCAGCAACATAGCTGTGATGAAGGCGAACAAAATGCGCGACAAGCAGCGTAGTCAAATGCCAATGCAGCAGCAGCAGCCGCAACAGCAGCAACAACAACAACAACAGCAGCAAGTTCCGCAGCAACAGCAGCAAACGGTGCAGCAGCACCAACAGCAACATGTGCAACATCAGCAGATACAGCAGCAGCAGCAACAGCAGGTACAGCAACAACAACAATTGCAGCAACTACCAACAGTTGGCACTGTGCAGCAATCAGTAGAGTTGGTACCCAGCACGACAACAACTGTTGCCGTGCCTGCTGGCAACACTGGCCAATTGCAGCAGCTACAGATACAGCATCTGACCAGTGCCAATGTGGCGCCCAACCAGCAGACGGCCATATTGCTGCATCAGCCGCAGCAGCAGCAGCAACTGCGCACACAGACCACAACCCAGCAGCTGGTGAAGACTATTGTTGGCACCACGGCTAATCTTACGGCTGGTCAACTACAGCAGTTGGCGCAGCAAACATCGGGCAATGCCGGTGGCGGTGTGCAGCTTCAGGCGGCACCGCCGGGCAGCCAGTCGAGCGTCAGTGTGGTGCTAACCACCCCAGTGCAGTCTCTGCCCATTGCCACGCACAACAATGGCTCCACGGCTCAGATAGTGTCCATCTCTTCGCAGTCGACGCTGCCAGTGAATACGGCGCCACAGGTGGGCAGCATTGTTCAAACCCAGACACTGCCGCAAGTTGTATCCGTTGGGCCACTGACCACCACGGCCACCGGCCAACAGCAGCAACAACAGCAACAGGCAACGGGCACAGTGACGATGCTGCGTGGCCAGCGTATTGTGTCCGCTGCTGGTGGTGGCGGCAATACCCTGCAGGATGTGGTGCTGCAACAGCGCACCACGGCCGGTGGACAGTCCATTGTGTCTATGCCCAGTCTGGGACAAGGTGTGACTCCCGCTCAATTCCAAACGCAGCTACGACTGGCAGCAGTATCCGGCTCACCCGCCACCCAGACAACCCAGCTAGTTACCACCAAAGGCATACCTGTCAGTGCATTGCAGCAGGGCGGCAAGACGGTGCTGCCCGGCACCCAGCAGCAGGCGGCTCACATCCAACTCTATCGGCAGCGCAATCTGAAGGTGTTGCAAGCGTCCCAGGGAGCTCCTGGCACCGCCACAGCCGGTGGTCTGAATCCAACTGTGGTGCAAACAGCAGGTGGTGCCCTAGCCACGGGCACAATCATTCAAGCGAGCAATCTGATGCAGACTTCCACCCACGTCACCAGCCAGAAAGTCGCAGTTTCTGGCATGCCAGGCGCAACCACAGTGCAGGCGGGCAATGTGGTTAGCTCGGTGCAGATGCATGGACAGGCGAGAACGCAGTTCATCAAGCAAATGGCAGCCGGTAAGCAGGGCCTGCAGCGTCAGGTGCTCACTACCGATGGAAGTGGTGCTAGCGTCGCTCCAGGTACGAGTGATATGCTGCTCGTTAAGCGGCACAATATACTGGCAGCTCAAAAGGCGCAACAGGCCACCGGACCGCTATTCACGACTACCACCAGCAACAGTGCTGTGCAGCAGCAGCAGCAACAACAGCAGCAGCAACAACAACAACAGCAGCAGCAGCAGCAACAACAACAGTTGCCCGTCGCTGGTGTCGTGCAGCAACAGCAGCAGCAGACGCAGCAAATCGCCACACTGGTTAAGGCATCGACAGCAGCAGCAGCCAGTGGCAACAGCGTCAGCGCCGGTGGGGTCACTGTCTCCGCCACAGGACCGCCCACAGTGCAGGCGGGCAGCGTTAATATGACACTGCCGCAGCTGAAGCCGGGCAGCCAGATAAAGGTGACGATGCCGAATCAAATGCGCCACTTGCACGTGCAACAGCAGTTGGGCATGTCGCGCAAGATCAACCGCATGACACAGCTGGTAAGTGCATCTGGTCAGCCGACGGCCACGAATATTGTGGCCACCACGAGTGGTCCTCAGCAGCAGCAACAGACACCGGGCGGCGTCACTGTCTCGCCTGCCGGGCAACAGCAACAGCAGCAGCAGCAACAGAAGGCAACTCAAGGCGCCGGCAGCTTGCAGGCCCAACTGTTGCACATACAAAACACCAAAGCGGTGACAGTGCAACAAATCCAGCAAGTGGTGCGCAGCGGACAGCAAACGGGCATCGTTCTAAGCAAGACGAGTCGTGTCATACCCGTCTCTGTGGCGTCACAGGCCACACAACGGCAGACCATACAGGTAAGGATTTCTAATATTTAATGAAGCTAAACCGATATTGTTCGTTTGGCTAATATCTATTCATTTTTGCAGGTAGTTTCCGCTGCTTCGGCTCAGGCTTTGGCCGCTGGCAATCTGCGCACAAGTCAGAGCATAGCTAGCGCTTTGAAGGTTGCTGCTTCCGCCGTTGGTCAGACGACTCAGCAGACGCTGATTGCAGCACTGCAGCATAACCAAAGGCAAAATGCGAGCCCTGTGCGCTTGCAAACCACAGCAGCTGGCAATTTGCTAGCTGTGGTACAGCAACAGCAGCAGCAGCAGCAACAACAACAACAGCAACAGCAGCAACAACAACAGCAGCAACAACAACAGCAGCAACAACAACAGCAACAACAACAACAGCAGCAGCAACATGCTAATCTTGCTGGGCCTTCATCCGGTCCGGCTGAGGTTATGACAATAACACAGACCACAGCGCCGCTGCCAACAGTTGCTAGTCTGCAACAACAGCAGCAGCAACAGCAGCAGCAGCAGCAACAACAACAGCAGCAGCAGCAGCAGCAACAACAACAACAGCAGCAACAGCAGGTTGGGGTCGTACAACAGCAGCAGCAACAACTGCCAACGACGCAACAGGTACGAACGCTGGTGAAGAAAAAGATCATGATCAGAAGCGAGAAAGAATAACATTTAGCGAATCATCGCACAAGAGTTGGCGCACGGCCGCGCAATCGGCGCAGCATCATTACGAACACCCACACAACCACTTCAACAAGAACAAGCACCACCACCACCGTAGCCAATTCGTTTACAATTACAAGCACCACAACAACCACAACCACCAAAAAATGCATCGTCGCCACAATTACAACGGGTCAATTTTAGACGCCGGCAATTTCGATATCAGCTGTGTTGCAACAAAATTACTGAATGCTCTCGCTCATTACTTCATTACTTGTTCAACATGTCCGTCAATCAATCAATCAGCTAGACCCACCAACCAACCAACCAATCAATCGATCAATCTATCAGTCAGTCAGTCAGCGAATCAATCATTGCTTAAATCGTACTTAAAACCCTTTTGTTTCGATTGGTTTTACAGCCATGAGCCGGCGCCTCCTTGCCTGCTGCAGGATCCTGATCGGGATTTTTGGTGATGGGGATGATGTAGTGTGAAGGGCGTGGCACACACACTCCAGCACACGCACACACCCACACCCACACCCACAACCACACCCATACAGACAGCTTAAGTCTGTTGTTAATTGTAATTATATATAAATAATATTTAGTCGTATTATTAACTATATAGCCAAACTCAATTGAAAATGCAATTCTGTAAATCATATTCCTTAAGCTTCTCCTAGCTTATAGACATAATAATAATAATTATAATAATAATATATAGATTTTAACTATAAAGTTTTTAATATGCATTAATATCTAATTAATCTATGATATAGTATAAATTAAAAACAAAAAACAGAAAAAAAAGTATTATAATTGTAAATATAAATTGTATTTTTAATTTGTAATCAAAGGGAAGAGCTGTAAGATGTAACTAAAGGATGAAACTGTTTGAAAGGAGCTTACTTGAGCAATGTAAGCATTAATTAATTAATTTTGCAGAACGAGGCTGAAGACCAAAAAACTACCAGCTTGGCTAAATGTCATGAACGTTTAATCTGATGCAACAGAGAATTTGTTAACTTGGCTTACCTAGCACCAATTACAATATAAAGTATATGACATTTGGCATTTCGATCTGGATTCGATTTTCTGCAGCTCTGCAAAGAAATTTCAATATTTCTATATCTCGGGAAACAGAATTTATTCAATTGTGCAACCCTTGTAGTAAAGTGGCTTTGTTCACTGTGACCTGCTGCATTTCCATGGCAACAGCGTGGTGGCACAACATGGCACCACAGTGAATGGTTATACCAAATGCTATTGGCAGTCGGTGTGGAGCATGTCCCTGTTCAACGTGTGCAGCTGGTGGTCAGCGCAGTGTGGCGACACTGTGGGCGACTATGATGTGGCCAGTTTGTTGTGTGCGCGCTTCGGACTGGAGGCCCACGAGAAGGACTACATCATTGTGGGCTCACAGTCCGGCACTCTGAGCATTTACTATCCGCATGGCAATGCATTTGAGGCGACGGACTTGCTGCTGGAGACGCAGCTAGCGGCGCCCATACTAGGTTTATATGCGGGCAAATTCAGCGGGTAGCTCAACTGCTCAACATACACAAAGTCTTTAGAGGAGTAATCTCTTATTCCTTATTCCCAGTAATGTGCGCAACGAGAATGTCAATCAGCTGGGCGTGCTGCTGCCCAATGCCTTTGTCATCTACAATGTGCAGGCGCTGAGTGGATTGGCCGAGTATGGCACGCAGCTGAAGCTGCAGCAGCTGGCGGAGCACAAGTTTCAGCGTGTCGCCTTCTCCATGTGCCAGGGTCACTTTGGCCAGGTGAAGGGGCGCGAGTTCTTCTGTGTGGTGCATTTGGATGGCACGCTCACTTTCTATGAGCAGGACGGCATCTCGTATGAGTGTCGCTTTCCGGGGCAACGCAGCCTGCCCACTCCGGTGGTTTATTGCGAGCGCACCGATAGCTTCTTTCGGCTGAGCGCCACCTGGCATCTGCAGTGCTACAGCTACCAGGATCTGTCACATTCGCTGGTCACCAAGAGCAGCTATCAGCCGATCTGGTCGCAGTGCATCGGCGAGGGCATCCTGGACATGCGCGTCGTCCAGCTAAAGGAGTGAGTGAGTCTGGCTAGGAAATGTGTTCGTTTCACAGTTGATAATCCGCAGAAGCTGCTCCTACATCATGATACTGGGTGAACGCAATTTCATCTGCTTGGACGACAATGGGAAATTCAATTTTATATTGAAGCTGGACTATGCGCCCAAGTGCTTCTACAGCTTTGTCGTGGGCTACTATTGGGGTAAGAGGCGATGCGCATAGACTACGACTAGCTTGAATACAGATTCATTCTCTGCAGAGCCCGGCGCACGCCTGCTAACGGCCATTGTCTCGGACTCTGCCAAGCTGCACATCTATGAGGAGGCCAACATCATTTGGGCCGCCCAGTGGCAGCAACCGGCTCCAGTGGCCATTCAGCGCTCCAATGTCCAGGGCCTGGCGGGCAGCATTGTTACCCTGACTGCCTCGGGCCAGCTGACGGTGGGCTATTTGGGCGCACAGCCGTATCAGTTTCAGGTGCTGCCCCTGAACATCGAGGAGCTGAGCTTTGCAGAGGCGCACAAGCAGCTGCAGCAGCTAGAGGATGAGATCAAGGAGTCGGTGGACTTACGGGATATGGACGCGCTTAATCAGCAGGCCGCGGATCAGGTGCGAATCAGCTTCAGCATACAGCGCAAGGTGTTTGATGATCTGGACACGCTGGTGCTCGATGTGCCGGCCGATGTGGCCGTCAAGGAGCTGCCCTCGGCCAAGGGTTTGCTTAAGCTGAAAATCAAGGCCGAACTGGCGGAACTGCAGCTCGTTATCAAGACGCCCAACGGCGTTCGCTGCAGCCAGGAAACGCTCAGCCTGGTCGACGTGCCAGCGGGCAGCACAAAGGAACTGCCGCTAGACTTCTACATGGCTGAGCTGCTGCACGTACATAGCACACGGGTTGAGATCTTTGCGTCCTTTGTTAGTCCAAGGGTAAGTTTTTGTATGAGAGTAGATGCGTTTGCTCTTAGACTCGACTAATCTCGGCCTGCTCCCCCACAGGGCATACCGCGTGTGCTGCAGCAGAGCGCTTGTCTGCCCCTGTCCATGTTCTATCGCAGCTGCCAGCCACAGAAGGCGGCCGGCATTAAGCTGACCTACACCATCACCAGCAAGCATGTGCCGCCCAAGCTGGCGACCTTCTTCGGCGAGTTCCTGGAGGAGGATAGTGAGGCGCAGGCACTGGGTCTGCAGCTGCTCTGCCCTGGACTGGACAAAGTAACCGAAGTCATCACCGTGGTGGCAGCCAAGAACTCCAACCGCTTGAGGTGAGCTCAGCGCAGTTGACATAGCCGTGCTTTACTGTAGCTTTCTTTGCAGAATACAATCGGACTGTGTGGAAACATTTGCCATGATTCTGGAGCGCATTGTGGACACCACCCTGCAGCTGGATAGCGATGGCAGCTTGCTCAAAATGCACAAGAGAAAGCCCAAGCGCGGCGTGCTCAATCGCTGTGTGGAGCGCATCATGGCCGCCCCCTTTATACCCACTCAACCCATTCTGCATCGCGCCGATGTCCACCACGAGACACAACAGAATATACGCAAGCAAACGGTGAGTGAGATGGGGAGAGAGGTAAAGAGAGAGGGAGAGGGAGAGTCAGAGAGTGTGGGTAATTAATGGTGCTCATTGTTATGGCTCTGCAGGCACAATTGGAGGAGCTATGGCAACAATTCAAAACACTACAGCGCCAGCTACAGGAACAAACGGAGAGCGAACCCAAGGAGACTCTCACCATGCAAATCGAAGCGAACTACGACCACCTGATACTGGAGGGAGACAAATTGGTTGAAATACGGCGGGACGAGCACAGGTAAACATGTCTAAACGACCAATTGGAGCTCACCAGCCCACGCAGTAGGTACAGTGGCTGAGAGATATTTACAGATTGCTTACATTAATTATGGGAACGAGATTTACTAATTTAATGCAGAGATCTGAACTGAACTTGGAATATATTTATGATCTTATTATTCATTTGATTTTTATATAATATAATAATATCTATAATTGAAAATTCAATTTAGTTATAGAATATTTACTTTATATAAAAAATTTAATTTATTTTATATTATATATTTTATTGAACTACGTTGCCTGGATTCGATTCAATTTTGTTTATCTAGTGGTTGAACTTATCTTTTAGCCACTGTGCACAGGTGTAGGTGTACTTATTGACAAATTTATTGTTTATTGTTGTTTGTTCGGCGCGTGTCCAGGCAGCGCAGCGACCTCAACTGCGCCGTAGCTTTGGCCAAATGGATAATTCATGCATTGAACCTGGAGGAGCGCGTGGTGAACGTTGTCAACGCGGTGCTGAGCGTGCCTGTAGAAGACTGGACTGAATTGGTGGGTAGTAAACGCATGACGCATATCTATAAATAGGATGTACAGATACAAATATCTGTTTTCTTAGAGCTGGGAGGAATCTATGGCGCCTGGCATTGATATGCTGCATCATTTTGGACCGCTGATGCGCTCCAAGTCGACATCAACGCATGGCCTGCTCGATGGCAACACTAGCAACAGGGACAGCTTTGACTACAGCCGCTTTAGACGTCATTTTGCGACGCTGTTCGATCGCATTGTGCGCCTAGCCTCGTCCTCAACGGATGAACAGGCGGCAAAGCAGGCGACAGCCACGGAGCAAGCAGTTGAGCAGCTGCAGCCGGCGCATCAGGTGAACGAGATTGGAAGCATGCAGCGCATGCTGGGTGACAAGAAATCCACTCTGCCGCGTGCTGGCAATCCCAATTTGAGCAGCTCCTTGGAGGCTGTGGAGGATGAGGAGGAATACGACGAGGACGACTTGCGGGACATGGGCTATCGCAAGGACTATGGCCCCGCTGCAGCCGGCGCCGATGGCAACGAAGGGGCGCAAAAGAAAGGCAAACGCTCTGAGTGGGTCAACGAGGATTTCGAGCTGCCCACCACCGAGGAGCTGTTCAGTGATTTGGGCATTTGGTGGTAAATCCAAGCAAGCAAAAGTCGATCAGATGTGAAATATGTGTGTGAAATGTGACTAGCTGTGAGCGGTATTTAGCTTGAACAGAAAAACAGTGACAGCTTTTCGAGCTGATTGCGTGTTCAACATGAAATGCAACCTTAGACCTTGATTCAAGTTCTATGCCAGACTATATGTATGTATATATGTTTGTCTATCTCTTCTTGCCTTTAGCGTAAAATGCATCGATGTATAACAAGATAAAAAATATATTTTCTGATAAAGTGATGCCTAATTTGATATGGAAAGTGTTTAAAAGAGTTCACTTTTTTTTTATCAGATGAAGTGCTGATTCAAAGCAGTTAATATGATGTGTGCAAAGACGCATATGGATACATATAACCTAGAAAATATATATCTATATACACATATATTTATATCAACAGAAGGACTCAGATATCGCGTGTGTAACAGTAATTCCCAAGTCTCAGATAGAGACTTCGTAAGGTGTATTACTTAAAGAAAACTTGAGAAATTTTCTTTATTATCAGAAGCTTTGGACAAGATTGGCAAGTCTTAGTAGAAGCTGTTTAAATATCAGAAATGTGTCCTATATACACACACATACATATATATATGAAATGTACAAAGTAAATGTATATTTGGACTTTTATGAGTTAGCATTAAGACAAAAATAGCTTAAATTAATTAAAACGCTTTGACATAAAAACTTTAAAGTTCTTTTAATGTAATTTATTTTATGGTGTGTTTAAAAATCTATTTAATTTTTATGCATTAATGTGTAAGCTATCAATGCAATGGATTAATTTTGATTGCCTGCTGATCCGTGGCTTTGATGGCAATAGAACTGGAATAGCTTTGGTCTGCCACCGAAGTTCTAGTCATGTGGGCGAGGGTTTGCATATATGAATGTATATATGTATGTATGTGAACTCGTTTATGATGCATCGTTGCAGATAAAACACGATAAAAGTCAGAGATATGGCTACACGTTTACACACGCATTGTTCCAGGCCCAGCTGCAGTCCGCCTGGTTGAGTGGTTGACTGGCTGCCTGGATGCCTGGCCAGACGCTGCGTCTGGCATGCAACGTGTGGGCCGTGATTCCCTGTCAGCTGTGTGGCCTGTGCCTCACAATCCAAATCCCACACATGTGGCCGCCAGTTTTATGGACGCTGCTCCAGTTGTGTTTAGTTTAACCAGCCACAGGCTCAACAATGCCTCGTAAATTGGCCAGAATTGAGTGAGAAATGTCGACATCTACCAGCCAAGCTGGAGTCGTTCCCTGCCCAGTCCTAGAGCTGCCCTGGCTCTGCTCTGCGAGTGGCTTATGTTTATGTTTATGTGCATAGGCATTTCATCAAGTGATAATGCATTCAAATTGGATGAGCTGCAGGGCGTAAGGTAGTACTGCTGGAATGTATGTTTTATAGCATGTTGAGAGTTGATTTGCTTCCAAGCGAATCAATCAGATCATGGGCAGGTAGTTCTTCTAATGTGGATAGCTTTTGGATTTCTATAGTGGAGTTAAAAGGCTGTTGCCTCCTACCCTAACCTAAATAAAGTTTGAACTTGACCTGCGGTTCAACTAGGTTTTGGCTGACTGAGAAATTAAAAAAATAAACGAGCTTGAGTCATTAGGCGGCCTGCGATCTGTTGTCTGTGTGTTCTGTACTAATTAATAACTGACGCCTGAAATGAGAGACAACTTTTATAAATTAAAATTTGTTTTATTTGCGGTTTTGATAAGAACTGCGCACGATTGGGTCAATCACATGTAGAGAAATATTAAATTAGAGATAAAAACATGTCGAATTTTAAGGCATATTGGGAAATTAAAATTCCGATTCAGTATAGTATATATAATATATACAAAAAGTTGTATACGACTGAAAGATTCCTTGTCATAACTGATTCATTTTTGTATTTAACAGAATTTAATTCATTCACATCCAAGTTTTCGTTGGAGAGATATTACTTTCCAAGCTTTCGGAAAAACCCCCCATTCAGTTGAGCAGCATTGTATTGAGATATGAAGATTCCAATTCAATTTCTTATATATTATATATCAATTATATTACATAATATGATCAATTCGAGAGTTCATTTTTTATTTCCTCAGATTAACCCAGAGAACACAGTGCATTCCTTTCATATATTATAAAATCGCGAAAATGTTTTTATTAAAAAAGTTAATAAATCAATAATATGGTTGTCAACACTTAATTTGGTGCATTGAACAAATATAAAATTCATTTTTAAATAAAATTCAAAAATATAAATTACGACTCGTTGACGTTTGCATCTGATTTAAATCGAGCCTTCTTATTTGAATTCAATGCCGTTTTGCCTCACTGTGCAGCTGCGAACTTTTCACATCTTGTGTCGCGTGCGGTTTAAATGATGTTTTAAAAAATTATAATCATTAGCATTGAGCCGCAGCAACAGCTTATTTTGGACGGAAACGGGTACAAGTGAATAAGCAGCTGGAGGAAGAGCTTTAAAAAACAATGCTGGAAGCGGACTCAGCCGGAAGAGAGTGCAACAAATCATTTTTTGTTTTCTCATATCTTTGGTAATCGCTTTAATCAATATTCATTATAATTAGGATTGTATTGTTCCTTGATGGAGCACAAGGCGGGATACTTGGGATTAGCACCTGTCAAGCATTCGGAGGCAGGCTCGCCCACCTTGTACACATGCACGCCCACCGCATAAGTGCTGGCATAATTGCAGGCCATGTTGTAGATATAGAGGAAGGGATATTGGGGATTGGTGAAGCGCATCATGGCACAGCCGACGTGCGTATTGCGATCTACGACAGTTTCCGCAAAGTGTCCATATTTATCACTGCAAATAACAGACTTTAGTAACTTGAAATATTTGTAGAACTATCAAAGTATAACTCACAGATGCCTGGCCACTCGGAACTGGGTGATGTAGCTGCTGTCGATCAGTGGATACTCGCCGAACCACAGACCCATCGAGTTCACCACAATGCCACGCACATCTAGTGGCGCATTGCGTGGCCTATCGACGCCACAGAGATTCTGGCCGACATTGCGGAAGCGATACGAGTTATTGCATTCGTCGTGTTCCAGATCGCATGTCTTCAGGTTCAAGGTGGCCAAGTATTCCAGCTCCTCGTCCCAGATCATGGTGGCCATGCGAGCGGCAGGATAGTAGCCCGGCAAGTGTCCTGCGGCTATGAAATTGCGACGCTTGTTGTGCTCGGCCAGAATGAAGTCACGATGTGGCTGCAAATTGATCATAACTGCATCCTCAGAGCAAGAGTCGTTGAATTTCTGCAGAGATAAAAACAACGAATCCTTATTTCCACTGTTGAGTCAAGAACTGAGCTAAGAACTTACGCCCGTATTATTGCAGGCCACGTGACGGGTGCCCTCATTGCACAATTGAGGATCGCACCAGGAAAACTCGCCGGCCACAAGCTCCGCCTCAAAGTTGAGCAACAGCAGCAGCAGCAGCGACAGCGGCAATTGAATCCTGCGAGTCATGTTCTGGCTGTTGCAGTAAGTGTTTTGTAAATGTTAATTTTGTCAGGTGCAGGCGAAATATTTATATGAAAACGATGCGAAATCGAATTTTATTTTTGGATATACTGAGCATCCATATCACATATTCCGAAGTGTCGCTTAAGGCAGGTCGCGCAGTCTTTATTGCAATCAACTGAAAACGCATTAACGGTTTAAATGTGTGAAGTGACGTCACGGGTGATTAAGCTAACCGCAGCCTGAATTTGCAGTCAACCTGACAATTGATTTATTTACGATCGCTCGAAATTCTTTAGCCATATCCTTAATATTTATTAATGTGTAATTAATAAATTAATTGATTAAGATGTTTTATTGTATATTTTCAGTCAGACTACATTGCACGCAGAGTTAAATGTACAACTTTGATGTGTGTTGGCAAGGCCTTAAACGATATATCCTCACACTTATCGCACGAATAGGATGTCGATAGTCCAATTGGCAAACTTAACGAAGAAATGATTAACGCTAGTTATCGTTAGCTAGTAAGTGGATCGACGCGAGCAATTAGACAAGTGCTTTTCGTGTTTCATTTAAATACAATTCATCAAGTGGAATTAAACTGTGTTTTATCGTGTTTTATAATATTGTTAACATAATCCTTTAGCTACACTTAATAGTTACAAAAAAAAGCGTCTAATCACCGCGTTGACCAAACACAAACTGCTGGACATTTTGGGTAAGTCTGGATTAAAAAGCCTCTTATATTTTTGCCATATAAACTAAGATCAGATTCAAGTTCAACACAATGTTTAAAGCATGTAATTGAGGTAAAAACTTTAATATAGTACGAGTACATTCAACTCATATTTGTCTTCCGAGAAAATTAACCCATTAATTTGATTCAAACAAAGTTGAATGAAGTTCATTTGGGATCGGGCATCTAAGAGAGTTGCTCCAATGTGGGTGTTGTTTGTCCCTTGGTTCAGTGACATTTAAACACACATGCATAGTGTGTAGTGTCGGCATCCAACAGGCTGGAATGGCTTCTCTCGCCTATATACAGGTTTCCTTTTTGTTATCTTCTTTTTGCCGAACATCTCAGATCAGCAGCTGTTTCGCAGGCCGGATAATATCAAAAAAGCGAATACGAATAGCATTTGCATATTCAAACAAAAGCTTTATGTGCTTTCGGCACATTGTTGGTCTGGGAATAACAAACGAAAGTGCTGTGTTGCTATCAAATGTTAACCTGTCTAACCTGGACCGCATCTATTGCCCGCTACTTACACATGTCTGGGGTATATCTGACTACTTGCTAAATATAACTACGCAGAGACAAACAAATGCCTAGTCATGCAAATATCTGTGTTATAGTCGACTACTAAAACAATAAAAAGCAAGTCGACATCAATAAAGTGAGCAATAATGCTCTTTCCAAATATCTTTCCTTAATATCGTAGACCACATTTTATTTAAGCGTTTTGCATTTTTATAAACTATTATAGAGCATATTACCATATATGTTTGCATAAACTATTTTATAGTCAAGACACCTTTCTAATGTTTAATTCAAACCAGGTTACGGCATATTCATATTCATTTCAACCTCCTTGCGAGGTTTAGATACCAGATATCATACGTCATTTACGTCAAATGTTCTTAGAAAATATTGGCAATATTTCATGATTTATGATTTCTTTCATGCTAAACCTGATTAGGATTTTGTCTGGTTAGAATCTCTTTGTTTTCTATCCAGACTTGGGTAAATTGTCAATGATTTTCTCTAGTTAGAGCATATTGTCGTCGATCAAAAGATCGTTTTGTGCATGTTTATCGTAGCTGTCATTCATTAATTTTGGTATTATTTGGTTAAGTTCGTTAAAATAAAATTTAAATACTCACCGACAGACCGATTGTTTTGTTTGTTTAGCTAGCTGGCTGTCTGTTTTACAACAAATCATTAACTAATTAAAAATATTATTATTATACAGTGACAGACGCTAGCGTTGGTCCGTCCGTCCGTCCAAAAGCTGTCGAGTGGGTGTTATTATGTCAATAAATAATGGCTTAATATTTGTGTATGTGGTATTTATTGGTAAACAGAGACTACAACTATAATTAACTACAATCTTATGTAAAAATACAATACAGACAGTATTACTAAGATTTGGGCAGTTCTATACCTGAGCATTATACATATATTTAC